TCTAGTCTTTGTCACTGGGCTCTTATGCCACATTAGTCTCATTTTGTTTTATGGGGCTGTCTAATCTTTGCCTGAAGGGTGAACTTCGGGAGTGACTTCATTACTGAGCTAAAAGGGTATCCGGGGGCCATACTCTCTGGGTTTCTGCAGTCTCTATCAGGCAAGTATGTCTGGTCTTTTTTTTTTGAGTTTGAATTTTGTTCTACATTTTTCTCCATCTCTGTCCGGGACCCTCTGTTGTGATCCCAGTCAGAGCAGTCAGTGATGGTAGCCGGTACCATCTGGTTGTACGGGACTCAGTCTGGTGGAGGCTGTGGTAATTGTGGTCCATTGGTCCTTTGGACTAATCTTTCCCTTGTATCTTGTTTTCTTCATTCTCCCTTGCTCCCAAAGGGGTGAGACCAGTGGAGTATCTTTAAGTGGCTACTCACAGGCTTTTAAGACCCTGGACGCTACTCACCAAGGTAGAATGTAGAACATTGTCTTTATAAACTGTGTTATAACAATTGAGGTAGATGTTCCCTGAGACCATAGTCTCCACAGCCCTCCACCCAGCAGTTCGGTCCCTCAGGGAGTTTGGATGTGTCTATGGAGCTTCCATGACCTTTACTTGTACAAGTTGTGCTGGCTTCCCCAGTATTGTGTACTGTCTTACCCTTCACCAAGGTTACCACTTATCTATTGTCTATTTAGTATCCTCCCCACCCCCTCATACCTCGTAACCAACAAAGATTGTTTCTTTTTGTGTGTAAACATTTTCATGAGTTTTTACAGTCGTGGTCTCATATAATATTTGTCCTTTTATGACTGACTTATTTCATTCAGCATAATGCCCTCCAGATTCATCCATGTTATGAGATGCTTCACAGATTCATCATTGTTCTTTATCATTGCGTAATACTTCATTGTGTTTATGTACCATAGTTTGTCCATTCATCTGTTGATGGGCATCTAGGTTGTTTCCATCTTTTTGCTATTGTGAACAATGCTACAATGAACATGGGTGTGCATACGTCTATTCATGTGACAGTTCTTATTTCTCTAGGATATATTCCAAGGAGTGGGATTGCTGGATCGTATGGTATTTCTATTTCTAGCTTTCTAAGGAAGCACCGTATCATTTTCCAAAATGGTTTTATCATTATGCATTCCCACCAGCAGTGCATAAGAGTTCCAGTCTCCCCGCAGCCTCT